CCGGGGAGCATTCTGGCTGCACTTGTTCTAAGACAGATTTGTTTGTTCTTTTGGCAGCTCAGGAGATGTTCAATATCCTTCACCAAGCCCACAATTCAAAAGCCTCAGCGCTTTAATTTAATCACAGAGAATTGGTTCTTTGAAATGGAAGATGATGTAATCGGATCTTTCATACTTCCACTTTCCCTCCTACCCACAACCCGGTTATTACTGTTTATATTCATTCTCATTTATCGAGGCTTGTAACAGGGGGCCCTGGTGGCACAGTTGCGAAGTACTTGGCTGTTAATCCAAAGTGGAGGTTGGGGAGGCAGACCGTGACGCCACCCCACACTTCTGGGGTCATGGGCTTTCCTAGTGGGTGTGGGCTGTAGGGATAACAGCCAACATTTACTGAACATCTACTCCGCCAAGAGACTGTGCTGAATCCTGTTTGTGCATTAACTCTTTCATTCTCAGACAACTGGTGCGGGGGGGGGGGGAAGCCCAAAAAATCTCTGTTCCCCTAAAAAAACCTCAACCCTCATTGCAGTCAAGGAAGGTTGGGTGCCTTAGTGGGAAGGAATTGCATTGCCAATGCAAAGGTAAGCAGTTCAAATCCACCAGCTGCTCCCTAGGAGAAGGATGAGCAGTCTCCTCCTATGTGATTTACTGCCTCGGAAAACCTGCTGGAGGGTCAGCTATTGGTCATTGAGTTGGTTCCAACTCAGTGGTACACAACAACAACAAAAACAACAACAGTATTACTGCCAAGTCAGATCCAATTCATAGCCGACCCTTAGTGGGTTTCTGAGGCTGTAAATCTCACAGGCAGAGATTGTTTCTTTTTCTCCCTCAGAGCCGCTGGTGGATTTGAACACCCAGAGAGGTGCCACGTCTGGGTCAGCAGTGCAGCTCCCTACATCCTTTGTTGATCCCAGTATAAACCCAAATCCACTGAGGACCAGTCTATCCTGACTTCTAGCTTTCTTCCAGCAGGTTTCTGAAGCTGTAAATCTTTACAAAAGTTATCTCTCTTAGGTGCAAGGCAGCTGGTGGATTTGAACCACTGACCTTTGCAACTGGCAGCCCAACACCTTGCTCACTATGCCACAGGTTTCCTTTCCACAGATGAAGGAGCGCAGTGAGGCTTGAGGGCAGGCAGAGCATATGCTCCCAGCCCCACTTCCTGCTGCAGGTTCCTGTCATTCAGGCTGGCCCCATTGCACAGATGGGGAAAATGAGGCCAAGAGTGGAGACAGCAGTTCCCCAAAGTCCAGGACCAAGCAAGAAGCAGAATGGAGATTTGAACCCAGGTTTCCTCTCCCACCCAGAGGCAGCGCTATCTTTGGAGAGAATGCTGAAGCTCCTTTCTTGGGAAGGAGCAGGCCTTGACCTCAGGGCTCCAGCTTCCTCTCACCAATGGGGAGAAATAACAGTTCCTGCCTTGGGGCTGTGCAGATAGAAAGAGGTCAGCACCTGGCCCGGCTCCCTCCCGAGTATCAGTGTGACAATTATTCACCAGCTCCTGGGAGGGGCCACCCACTCACCTCCTGGGGTGGGGGGCGGCTGAGTCATCAGCAAGTAGGACTGATGGCTTGAAACAGAGCAAGTTAAAGCGAGTGAGAGAGGAAGCGGGCCTTTAAAGCCCAGCCTAGCCCTTCTTGGTATTTGATGCCCTGGGCAAAGCGGTGGTGTATTCACTTCCCCCATCCCTGCAAGGACCTGCACCATCCAGGTGAAAGTGGCTTGGTTAAATCCCAGGGCAGGTTCTAAGTCCTTCTCTTGAGTCCCCTGGGCGACCTGCTGGGCTGGCTCTGATATGGGGTGGGGTGGGGGTTGTGCTGGCAGGTGAAGGAGGATCACAAGCTGGGGGAGGGCTGAGGGACAGAACAGGGCAGCCTGTGTACTGTTTAACATAACACTGGTAATCAGCCTGCACACATTAGCTGTTGTCACCTCCCCAAACCCCAATTTCCTTATCTGAGAAACGAGAAGAATAGGAAGGCCTACTACACAGGTTGGTTAAGCAGATTTAAAGGAGCTAATCCTGGAAAGAGCTAGTGCACAATATGTCCTAAGCTGTCAAAAATGTTTGCTATTGTCACTGAACACAGACTTGGCACGGCACACTGCCGTTATTGTCCCCGCTTCTTGGCTGGGCCTGGGAGGCCTGCCCAGAGTCGTGGCCTCAACAGAAGCGGCCAGCTGGAATTTGAACCCGAGCCTGTGTGACCCCAAAGTCCCAGCCAGCAGCCGGAGAAGGCACGCCAGCCCCGGAGGCCTGGGTGACTCAGCCTGCAGGGCCCCAGCCCCGCCCATTCCCGCTGACTCACCCGCACTGATTCCTCTAGGGCCTTTCTCCGGAATGCTGGGCCCAGGTGCAACAACAACAAACAACAATAACAGATTAACGCTGCTGAGAATTTCATTTTCCTTGGATCCACAAGCAATGCCTGTGGGAGCAGCACTCAAGAAATTACCTGATGGCTGTTGTATTGCATTGGATAAAGCTACTGCAAAAGACTGAAAGGACTGAAGAGCAAAGATGCCACTTTGAAGTCTAAGGGGCGCCCGGCCCCAAGCCATGATCTTTTTCAGTTGCTTCAGCATTAGTAGTGCAGTCGTTAAGCTCTTGGCTGCAAATCGAAAAGCTGACGGTTTGAATCCACCAGCCGCTCCATGGGAGACAGGTAGGGCTATCTGCTTCCGGAAAGATTTCCAGCCTTGGAGACCAGTTCTGCCCTGTCCTGCAGGCTCTTTATGAGTCAGGACTGACGCGGCGTCAGTGCACGTAGGAAAGCTGGACCGTGAACCAGACAGACCAAAGGAGAACTGATGCCGTTGAATTAAGATGACGGGGAAGGGTGTTGACTGTCCTGTGGACCATCAGAAGAACAAACAGATCTGCCCTGGCAGAAGAAGGCAAGCTAGAATGTCCCTTAGATGACGAGACTTGGTCTCACAAACTTTGGTCAGGATTTAGTAGAGAGTCAGTGACAAAGAAGAAAATCTTCAAAGAGATGAAACGACACAGAACAGTAACTACAACAGTGGACTCCAGCACAGCAGCAAACAGAGGAAGGTCTCGCATTCATAGGTCAGAACCTGCTTGATGGCTTTCAGCAACAACGGTTATCATAGGTGGCATTCCTGGGAGGCTGCCTTCTCCTCCAGGAAGTCCTCCGTGATAATCCCTGTGGGTGGCCCTCTCGGGTCACCAGCCTCTGACTAGGGAGGAAGTGTGAAGACTGTGTGAGCAGGCAGGGCTCTCCCTCTTACTAGACCAGGGTGCAGTCAGGGAAACCAAGTCACAGAGGGGGACTGTCGTGTGCTCAAGTTGGAAACGGCACAAAGAGGTGAGGCCAGGCTTGAGAAGGTCACTTCCAGCTGTCCTACTCCTCTATGTTCTGACTCTCTCCCCCGACCCCAGCCTCACACGCTGCCCAAGGCCCGGTGGCCCTCAGAGCTCTGTAATCGGTCCGCTTGGGGTGAGGGTGAGTCAGCATTCAGCGTTTTCGCTCATGCGGCCAAGGCTGCAGGCTTAGGGGTGGGATGGTGGCCATGGGGAAAGAGAAGCAGGGACCGTGGGCCCTCCTCCCGCGCCTGCCCTGCCTGTAACCCTGAAACCAAGAGATGAAGTCACTTTCCCAAGACCAGAGGGTGGCTCTTCCACTTCCCTGGGCCTGGACCTCGGCCTCAGTTTCCCCATTTAAGGCCCTGGGTCCTGTGACTCTTGTGGAACTCTTTAGCTACGGAACGGAACGGGCCCCTTGATAGTCATCTCTGGGGGGAGGGGACTGGCTGGGGGGACTGGTTGGGTGTGGAGGGGACTAGCTGGGTAGCGAGGGGGCTCTGGGGTTTGCTCTCTGCTGGGAGCCTGCTCTGAGGCAGCCCTCTCGCTGAAGTTCCTGGTTTCCTTGCACGGCTGATGTTGTTAAGTGCTGTCATCTAGGACTCGCAGTTCTGAACCCTGCCCTCTCTTGAGCCAACCCCACTGTCTCCGACACAGCTGACCTGTTGCCACAGTCACTGTGTCCATCCATCTCATTCAGGGTCTTCCCCCTCTGTGCTGACCCTCTACCCTTCCAAACATGAGGCCCTGCATGGCACTGGTCCCACTTCCCAGATGTAGAGACTGCCAGGGGAAGGCAGTTGTTCGAGGGGACCTAGGTGAGGCCACAGGAGATGCTGCAGTACTTTCCCTGTTCCCACATAGTCCTGGGGTCACCTTCTCTTCAGACAAGGAAACTGAGGCTCAGGGAGAGACAGCAGTCATGGGGGGCCAGGGTGTGCTAGGCCTCAGGTCTCAGATTGAGCCCAGCTGGTTTTCCCACCATGGTGCCTTCTTTCCAGACGTGATTGTAGAGAGCAGATGGGTGTCACTGAGCCCGCAGGAGGCCAGCATGGAAGCAGTGCTCTACCCACAGTGCTGTGGGCATCGGGGACTGAGGCAGAGGCGGAGGCTAGGCCTGGGTGGGATGTTTGTGGGGAAGTGAGTGCCTGGCTTCCCCGGGACAACACCCACAGAGGGAGAGGGTGAGGGCAAGTGTGTGTGTGTGTGTGTGTGTGTGTGTGTGTGTGTGTGTGTGTGTAAGAGGGAGAGAGAGAAAGAGACTGTGTTTGGGAGTGTCTGTGTCTCTAAATGAGACTGTGTGTGTCTGAGAGCATCTGTTTTTCTGTCTGTCCTTGAGAGTATATGAGTGTGACCATGAGGGTTTCAGGGTCACTGACAGTGTGTATGTGTCTCTGGGTAAATGTCACTGTGAGGGTGTGAGTGTGAGTTCAGCCTTCTCAGGAGGACTGGGCACCTGGGGCACCCAGTACCCATCCTACTCAGACCCAGGCCCCCTCATGTCGCTGCCCCTCGCTGCCAGCTGCTTGTTTCCGTGCCTTATCTCCAGGCCCTGTTTCTTGATGAGAAAATAATTAACCACAGGCTCATTTTCCAAGACTCCCATTCTGTTCTGAAAACAGGCACAATGAGCTGGTGGGAGGAGGCGCTCCCCGGGGGAGGGCAGATGGAGGCCAGGGCAGTGGGTGAGGTGGGCGTAGAGAGAAGGTGGGAGGTGAAGGGGGCACAGCAGGGAGGGGAGAGAAAGGCGGGCGCCGGGCTCTGACCTCACCCACTGCGGCCTCTCTTTGGACGAGCTTCTCCTCTCTCAAGCCTCTGCTTCCTCCTTTTTAGTTGCGGAATTTGCACTAGAATTTCGTGTTTCCAGTGCATTTCCCCTCGGATATAAACAGGTGATAGCCACAACAAAAACAGTACAAACTTCTGGGCACAAATTTGGTTTGGGAAATGGCACCAGGATATATAAAGTGAAACGGATTGCTTTACTGCAGGATTTTCAGAGCCCCTTTCCCTTGAGAAATTTCTTTGGTTGAGTAATTCCAATGAGATGCACAAAGTTATCTCCTTCAGAATGCCTGTGAGGGGTTTGGGGAGCAATGTATCCCTCTTTTGTACCTGCTGTGCCCCGCTGCCTCTTACCTCCAATAGGTTTCTAATACATGGAGACAAGGAATTGCACATACTAACAGAGGAGTAAGCCATGTACACAGTGGTATGTAATTCAGAAGGTCTGGATACAGACTCATCATGGTAAACAATTAACCATGGGGTTAAAAAAACAACTCCAAACCAACAATAAACCATGCACTGTACCCTAACCATCAGATTCCCAAGAGGGCCAGGTACGGATACAACATTTTTCAAAGGCACTTGCCCTTGACCTCTAGTTTTGCACTAGTGCCACTGACATCTAGAGAACACTCTTTGGGGAAAGTGAGGTTCCAAAGGACAAAAAAAGAAGTCAGCAATGGTGTCCAGGGGGACTCATCCTCAGGTACTCTTCCTACTGCAGCAGGTTCAGGGCTGACCTGGGGCTTAAAGAGAGCAAGTCCTGCCCCAGTTCCCTAGCAGGTCAAGGATTAGGAGTTTAATGAATTAATCCTAATTAGAGACCTCTGGGGGGGCTCAGTGATAAGGCGTTGCCCTGTCAACCCAAAGGCACACGGAATCCACCAGCTCCCCTTCCAGGAGAAAGATGGGCGCAATTTACTGCTTCGGAAAGACGATGAGCTGTAGGTGGGTTCTGAGAGCCAACAGTAGCAACACAACAATTACGAATTAGGTCAGGACTGGGATCAGGAGTCAGCGCTCTTGGGAAAAGCTCCCCACACAGAAGACCTTCTGGCCTTCATACCTGACCAGGGGCTGCTGCTGGGCTTTGGGGATGAGGGAAGGGCTGTTGGCGTTTTGGAAGCATCCAGAACTCTGGTCCCCGACTGGATGGCCATTTCCTGGGAGTGGGAACATGAGGATTGGGAAGAGTGTGGCAAATAAGCGGGGCTGGGATGAGGCATCGGTCGTGGGGGGCTGTGTACGTGACGGATGTGCATGGTGTGACTCGATGGTGTGCTGCGTGTGAGCCCACCTGGCGTGTACCTGTGTGTTTTGTGCCGGGTCCCCCTCCCCCCTACTTCCTGGCCGTGCGCGATGAGGGTGCCAGGGAGCGTGGGCTCGTGGCCGGAGCGGCCGGGGCCG